TGGAGGTACAGTGGGCAAATACCCCTAGGCGTTTTTAAATTTATTGTGATACAGGCTTTTAGAATGGTTTTATTTGAGTTTTTTGGCTGTGTTATAGCAAATGTATTACTGTGTTAGTGTGCCTTGTTTACCACGTTTGGGCATGAGTCATCACAATGGAATGCAGGGCATCAACCAATAGGCATGCAGCTTTCCTCTATTCTTCTTGCTGATTGGCTGTTGGGATTTAACTTGATTAACAGACTGCACAGAGCATTTCCACCTGCACAGAGCATTTCTTGCTGATTGGCTGTTGGGATTTAACTTGATTAACACCTGCACAGAGCATTTCCATACTGACAGTATGTCTGTATTCAAGTGTTTTGGTAGGGATTTCAAGCTTTCCTGCTCCAGCATTGGAATGCGGGGCATGGACGTTTTTTTTTTATTTTGAAAATCAACAGTTTGCATTATGCAATTAAAAATCCTAACCAATAAAGTAGGGAATAGCTATCCAACTGTTGTTTTAGTTGTATTTTACTTCATATTATAGTTATATCAATGTAAATCATTGTTTTCCCTTGTGTTTCTCATTCTTTCCCTGCCATGTCGTAAAATGTGGTGAACCCATCGCTGTATTTGCTCCAAAGCAAATATTGGCCTTTCTAGTATTACTACTACTTCTACTGCTGCTGCTGGTACTACTACTACTACTACTACAGTAACCACCACCAGCACTAATACTACTACCGACTACTACTACTGCTACTACTACTACTATTACTACTACTACAAACGTCAGTCATCTGCACAAATATAACGTCTGGAATCAGGTTCCTGCTCCGTCGGATCGAGACTAGCGCGGTCTATGCTGTATCTTTTATGAACAAGACGGATAACTTTACAAAGTTTGCTAAAACGTTAGCCACGTACAAAAGATAAAAATTCACTCTGCACTCGAAAAGACACCAAAGTAAAGTAGCCTTCGGACATGATTTTGCTGATAAAAAATGTGTCTAGAATACGCCAGCCACGGCAACCTTTGGGCCAACATAGGCCGAAACAACCGTAGCAAGCTTCTAGTTCTAAACCTTCGAGACTAAGACATCTACCCGAAAAGGTCAAATTTGGTATCACGGTACACAACCTTTCATGCTCTCTGCATGGCTGGTGATGTTATGAAACGACGGCACGATTGAGGGCAAAGATCAAATGACCTTGAGCACATTCGGTTAAAGGACAAACGTAAAGAGAATACAAATTTGAACAAGACGAGGTTAAGTCAAGCAGATTAGCTGTTTGCTTATAGTACTTCCCAATTTCAAAAGTAAACATTTATCAATATCATAAATATATGTACGTTAAAGTCATCCAGTGTAATCTCAAAAGTGTATTTTTAAGTCAATTTTCTAGTCATTATTTTAATGTAGTAGGTTAAATCTGTGCAACCGTATATAATAACATACTAATAACTGAAAGGCAAAAATGTGATATCGCCAATGGAATGCGTATGGTTTCTTGTTTCGTATCGTAGGCTAGTTCTTGTTATTCATTGGTGGTACCAAAAAATAATTGGGGAGGGGGGGTGAAGGACATTGATAATGGGAGGGATTTTCATATATTAAAAGGCACGTGGTATATCTTTGAAAATATTGCATGGGGCTATGGGGAAAATTACTAGTAGTCTCCACCAGACTCCTTGTAGGCTGAATAAATAGGATTTAAAGGACTCCTCACGTAGCTTGTATGAGGGCTATTTCAAAGGCTTCAAGTATGAAATGATGACGATAATGTGCGCCAAGAAATGGCAGTATATGTCAATATCAGACAGCTTTCCTCACCCTAAATATCGTGGTTTTGTGACTCTGAAATTACATTGCCATTAATTATGTCTTGAAGCCTGGCAAACCTTCGTGTCGTATTCGCCAAACGGTGATTTACATTCATCAACCCTATATACGCTACCCGGAGCGAAGTCCCAATTGCACATATTGTATAGTTAGGCCACACCGCCTTAATTTTATGGATGACATCCGCGCGCGCAATGATTTTCGCCTGTCGCCCTCAAAAAAAAAAAAAAAAAAGATCACGTCCGCCGAAGCATAGGTCTGGCTCTAGGCCTGGGTAGTCCATGATAGTTAGCGATAATACGGAGCCGAGCACCCAGGCTATCGAATTCGAAGCTCCACGACTTAAGAACTCAGTACATACGGACAGTACCGATTCATAAATTCCGCAAAAAAGCCAGCATGTGCCGGCTTGTCGTATACATCGCCGCTAAGAACTGCCGCGAATTCACAATACCAGCTTTGTATTCCTGTGGTTTAGTAGCATTTTTATTTTTGGCCGGGATTTTTTTTATTCGCCCGCGCGAACTAGTTTGGGGGTCTTCAGAGGATGTCATCCATAAACTTAAATCGGTGTGTCCTTACTCGAAAAAAAAACATTATGCTTAACCTCTGTTGAGGATGACTAAAGACGACGACGACGAACTGTAGTAAAATAACCACGCTACGCTTGTCCACAAGTCATCACGGTTAACCGACATCAGACAAGAAGTATGTTTCTATGCTTTGGATTGTTAAACGTGTGCGGTTCAAGTATATTCCTTTATACATCCTAGCCTCTACTAGGCTTCTTAAGCATTTAGAAGAGTAGAATTGGCCAAATAGTCAGATATGGCAACCTGGGGAGTTGGCACACTAATTAAATTTTGTCTTCTTGCGAGTCAAAGTCTAAGGAATGCGGTTTGCCGCTCCCTGGAGCTATATGGATTCTAGAGTGAATTTCCCGTTATTCAAATTGCAAGACAAACACCACCCACTCGACTTGGCAGAAGAGCGAACTACAAATCTGGAGAACGGTCACCTAAACGTCGGCTCAAGTAAAACAAACGGTTCTTTTAGCAAAGGATCTGCCAATTTTGTAATCTAGATTATATTGAAGATGAATGCCATTTTGTAGTTGACTGCACATTATATAGAAATGAGAGGGATTCCCTCTATACTTATGTAATAGATAAGTTCCCAAGCTTTAGACATTTAGATAGAATAGAAAAATTCGAATTCCTCATGAAACTTGACAAACCGTGTATCATTAGCTCAATATGTTCGTACATCTTTAACTGCGTCAAGAAGCGAGAAGAAGCTAAACCTGTAAATAGTAGATAACATTAGTTTATATAGTATATGTAAGTGTCATTACTGTTTTCTTTTCCCTGTTTACCCATGACCTGTACTTAGCTCGTTAGAGCACAAGCGTACAATAAAGGTCTTTCATTCATTCAATAATAATAAAAATGAGCCGACGTTTAGGTAACCTGCCATCTTCAGCTAATGTGACATGTTTGTGACTTGACTGTGCACCGAAGATAGGTGTGGCTGGTTCACTGTGCACCGAAGATAGGTGTGGCTGGTTCACTGTGCACTGAAGATAGGTGAGACTGGTTCACTGTGCACTGAAGATAGGTGTGACTGGTTCACTGTGCACTGAAGATAGGTGAGACTGGTTCACTGTGCACCGAAGATAGGTGTGGCTGGTTCACTGTGCACCGAAGATAGGTGTGACTGGTTTACTGTGCACTGAAGATAAGTGTTACTGGTTCACTGTGCACTGAAGATAGGTGTTACTGGTTCAATGTACAATGAAGATAGGTGTTACTGATTCACTGTGCACTGAAGATAAGTGTTACTGGTTCACTGTGCACTGAAGATAAGTGTTACTGGTTCACTGTGCACTGAAGATAGATGTTACTGGTTTAATGTACAATGAAGATAGGTGCTACTGGTTCACTGTGCACTGAAGATAGGTATTACTGGTTCACTGTGCACTGAAGATAGGTGAGACTGGTTCAATGTACAATGAAGATAGGTGCTACTGGTTCACTGTGCACTGAAGCTAGGTGTTACTGATTCACTGTGCACTGAAGATAAGTGTTACTGGTTCACTGTGCACTGAAGATAGGTGTTACTGGTTCAATGTACAATGAAGATAGGTGCTACTGGTTCACTGTCTCATCGAGACGTCGGCTCATGTAAAATGAATGGCTGTGAATAAAAGAACTTTAGCATTCAATCATTCAACAACCTGATGAAATTATTTACCGAACATAATTACTTGACGTAGGTTTTTGTCCTACCGCATCTTGTTGTCATTTCTATTCCTGGGTGATAAAGGGAAATTAGCAATATCTTACAGCGTGTCTACCACTTGAAATATAATTAATTGTTATTACCCTCACGTAATGGCGTTCAAATTGTATTAAAAACTGCATGGCCCCTTATCATTAGAATTATCTCTCTCAACAGCTGTAATTTTTCTCCAATTATAATACATTTAGTTCTCTGGATTCTTTACATTGATATATATTTCCTGACACTTTCCAGACTTGGAAGCGGAAACCACAAATTGAATTGACGTAGGGTTAATTTGTTTTACATGATGGAAAGTACAGGCGATATGAGGAGGTTGAGGTGCATGGCAGAATGACAGGCTAAGACGCTGATGAAATTGAAACGTCAGAATGATGATTATAGTTACAGGCATGGAAAATAGTCTACATTTTTACAGCTATTGGTGGGTATAAAACCATCACCTACTGATGGTAGAAAGGCAAATATTTCGACATTGAAGCTACAATAAATGTAAACTAGCCATAAACAATACCTCTCAATGTCAGCTAGCTAACAGATCGAGGACCTCTCTTAACTTTCAAGTCTACTGACATGTCATGACGTCATCCATATAATCAAATCAACATGGCCTTATATCGTAGAATGTCAAAATCAAATAAAGGAAAAGAAGAAAATCTGAAGAGATGAAAATAAAGAGCTTATTATTTGTATTACCATACTTTGTGCGATTACTTATTTCTTTAATCTTCGTGATCACGTAGGTTTTAAAATGAAGGCGATTTTTTGCCAAACGTTTTTATTCGCACGCTCGCCGATGTGCCGATCTTGTTTTTTAGATATTCCTGTGCAGACCCAGTCAAAGAACCAGCTGTTCTCTTGTTATTTCAGACCCTGATGCAGTACCGCAGTGCAGAGAGCCGTCGCTGTGTCTTGTAGGGGAGTTCCAGTGCGGCAATCTGTCCAAATGTGTCCCGCAGGCGCTGCATTGTGACGGCAAGGACGACTGTGGAAACAATGATGACGAAATGTTTTGTGGTAACTTAAAGCTGTCAATTTTTTTTCTTTACAAAATTCAAAAAAGAAGTCAAACCCAGTAGTTTTTACTAGTAGTTACTTAGTAGTTAATAGTTCCATGTGTACTAATTATCTGTTTTTATACCAAATGTTTCTTCTGTTCATGCAATTAGCCCTCGGGCATGAAGTTTAAAATAAAACTTGAGTATTCAACCGTACTGCCAAAATACTGTCTGCTGTTCCTGCGGGGCCCGTTACACTCAAAGTACCATCTATATAGTGCCCTGCTGTATATGTACGATTCGGTGGTATTGGTGCGCCACCATAGGGCAAAAAAGTCAAGGGTCTATGACTTTTTAAACATCAAATTATTTGAAAAATATTTTGCAAAAAAATGCAGGCAGGACAAGGGTGCGTCAGTCATGGCATGTTTAAGCGCCAACTTTAGGCCGAAATTGTGAGATAATTGCACAAAAAATGTTGAAAAGGGAATTTTTTTCAATGTCAAATTCAATTTTTGCACGGGCAAAATCGAACTACTAATTTAGTAGGTGATAATGAAAGGTAAAAACAAAACGAACTCGTAAAATTGATATAATAGTTTTATATTTTATACGTCATTGTGTTCTTTTAGTATGTTTACTGGTACATGGTACATTGATTTCGGGGACGTGACATTTCCATGCGTATACAATAGCAATTAAATAGACCTTTCAACTTCTACTTATGTCCGCTATATGTAGCCATTATAGGTGAACCCAACAATTGCTATATATTACCAAGAAGTAGCATTGGTATTATACTAGGCTCACTTTAGTATTAACTGTTATCTACTAAGTTCCAATTCAAAGTTCTTGCAAATGTCACTGGTGAATAAATTACAATAAAGTTTGTATATGATACAGGGGACCCTATACCTATCCCATGGCCTGTATGGCGTGAATGGGGTGAATATGACGAAAAAGACCTTACACATCTAGAATATGACGAAGAAGACCTTACACATCTAGAGTATCCTGGAGCAGAACTTAGATACGAGATGTCTCTCTGTGGTAAGTTCAGTATTATTTTGCAATGGCATTGCTTTAAATATATATTTTTGAATTTTGCTGCGTTAAAAATTACCTGTACCAGACGAGTGGTACCTGCGCCTAATACACACAATCTAAGTGTTGACCAAAACTATTCAGAAAACATTAATGTCATGGTTTCGTTTTTTCGTCTTTGATAAAGTGTTACAATCGAGTGATAATGCTAGTATTTGTTGTACAGAATACCACGTTTTCTTCGTTTACTTGTTTACACAAATTATGATAATGATTGATAGCTGTTCAAACTTTAATATGTCAAAATGTCACTCACATAGATTGATAATATAATACATAATTACGTAGAATTCCCGAAAAAGCTATACCTGCATAAAACATGTGTCTGCCTGGATCTCATTTAGCTTTAGCCGGATTCTTCAAAAACGTTTCAGTCGGATGAGGATGATCATGTTGGGGACCTTAAATTTTACGATGTGGATGCTGGGGTTATGAAAATATCACCCCATTTTTTTGTTTCCTTGGTTGAATTTAAACTCTATAAAACAGTTTAACATGTTATTGTGTGTATCGATAAACAATGTGTTTTTTCCAGTGTTAGCAACGGTTCCGACACCTTGCTTGTGTGCCCAAAACACATCCTTGCGCTGCCAGGAACAGAACATCAGTCAAGTACCAACGGATATCCCCGCACAAGTCACACGACTGTGAGATTTCATGTTGCTTTAATGCTTGTGTAATTGACAATAATAAATAGATGTATTGCAAGTTGGAAAATCACCTTTTCATTTATTTCTAAAGAAGTACTTGCCAACATTAGTCTGCAAGCTCATCTGTGTTGGTAATATTTCATGATGAAATTCAACGTTCATTTCGGTAGCTCTATGTTAAGAACTGTTTGGGTAAATATGTAACTATGCCATTACGTAGATTTCTACAAAACAACATCCTGGGCGTGCTACGGGGCCAGCCTTTTGAGAACCTCGCCGATCTCCAAACCCTGTACGTACCGAACTAGAAACAGGTTCCATTCTTTTCCTATCATGTCGCCAAGTATGAGAATAATTCTATTGTAGATCTTTAGAGTTTTATATGGTAACATTAGTCCTTGCCATTTCCTAAAAAAAAAAAATACACCAGAAAGGGGGCAGTGCCTGGCATCAAATGCGGGCTTCTAATTGGTAAATCCATTTTGATATATTCTAAAACTGTTATAAACATTAACCCAAGATTAAGTGCATCAGCTATTGTGGTAAAATGTCAAAAACGTAACCTCCTGTATATGCTGCCGGACGAGGGGCGTGCGTGTTAGTACTTGGTTTTGTAGAATTCTTAATGGGTGGCATTGCCGGCTTCGTAGGAGGCGGGTTAGTCCTACAATGGTCGGAAAAAGAACGAATTACCAATTCTACACAATCCTGTACTAAAACACACACCTCTGAAGGCTTCAGAAACAAGGAGCAAGGAATTGTAACATGTTACAAATTACAACAACGACAGACGGTTTTTTGCATATCATGATTAGTAATACATGTGCGATCGGAGGCAACATATATAACGATGCCCTATTTTTGTTTTTGAAATAATTAATCTAATATGGATTGTAATTAAATGCGCCCTGAAATTGGATCAAAACAGTCTTTATCTCTTTTACATTGGATTCTTCTTTTAGAAACCTGAACTGGAATAAGATCACGCACATAGAGGTGTCTGTGTTCGCCGGTCTGGAAAACCTTCAGAAACTGTAAGTTGATATTTTCTTGTACTGGCAGCATCGCATTTGACACTGTATTGATACAAGTGAGTTAACACGAACGGCCATGCATTCAATAATTTAAGTTCTATATTTTGGTCAGTTTTCTCCTACTGAACAACGAAAACGGCAGCCATTTTCCAACTAGCCGGATATCGAGACGAATTGATTCGCTTTGATCCAGCTTCGTTTCAGATCGAGCTGATCGTGAGCTGATCGTGTCAGGGTTGTCAGTGAAGTGGCCTTAAGCCATTCGTTGAACCCTATTATATTGTGTGCCCTGTATTACGTGTCTGTAGTAATAATGCGTGAGCAGTTCGCAATGCCAAAATTCAATTTGTGCCCAATTTTACCGGTCTAACTCGATAGGCAGTCTTGATGGAACATTAAGTACTTATTATCGAGGTGCGTGTCGGTCGGCTTTGATCTGTCACACTGGGATTAAGTCCCCGTCTACTGCAAATTCACTCTGCGTTGCAGCGACAAAATTGATTAATGTAACGTAGTTTGCATGCAATAGAGAGGCATTATTGCATGCAAATGTTCCATTTAAATGAACAGACATAAATTGATAACAAAATTAGACCAAAAAAATCAAGCCTTAAATAAAGCCCCTGGCCCCGATGTTTCTGCAGTTTCCCCCTGAGATGTTCCAACTTGAGATAAAAGACAACCAACTTTGTAAAAGACTGGAAATTTAACCTCTTTGAAGCTGGCGACTGAAATATAAAGAGTTTGTGTAGCAAAATGATCATATCTTTAAAGGTAAATGCATTTGTGGATAAGTCCCCCAATATGACTGTAAAGGAGGTTATTTGTTCTTTGTTGTTTTTAAAAATTATGTACTCCATGATTTCACTTGTGCTTGCTTCAACGTACAGAATACTCCATTAAGCTATTAATTACCATGTAATGTACAAAAATGTAAACCATTCATTCATTTTGTCTTTGATTCTCTAGTTTTCTTGGCAACAATGAAGTGACCAACATCATTCCTGGAACGTTTGCTGACCTTCGTAATCTGGAATGGCTGTGAGTAGAGATATCACGGTTCGGTTACTTGTCTTACATACTCTGAAACAATAACCATAAACCTTTTTGCACAACAATCGGACAAGGTACAAAGTATGGCATCTCCTGGAACCATAAGATTAAGGTTTAATC